CGGAGGGAGAAGCTCATTGCCCACCTCCCGGCTTGACATTTTAAGCCGCACGCAACAGAGCAAGATGAAATCCACTAAGGCGGCTGCTGCTGCTGCTGCTGCTGCTGCATCTTTTTTTGCCGTGAAGCAGTCCAGGGCTTTCCAGGAAAAGCGAGAGATCCCGATCTGCCCCTCGGTCACGTTCTGTTTTCCTCCCGAGATGCTGCGACTCCCTCCCCCGCCCCCATGGATGGTGTGACGGTGGGCATGAGCAGGGGATTGCCATGACGTTGGCATCCGAGCACGCCAAGCAAAAGGAGTCGTGCGTCCGTTGGCAAAATTAGGCATCATCGCCTAGCATCCCTTTGCCGCCGCTTTTCTGAGTCATCCGGCTTCAAAAAGCCTGGCCCGTTGTGTTTTCTTCTCTGCGTGAAAATTACCTCGGAAGATTCCGCGGGGGGGGGGGGGGAGAGGTGAACGCCGCTGGGGGGGGGCGTGCGTGCGCAGTTTCTCTTTTTGCCTGGCTGCTGAGCTAAGCAGCCTCTTGGCCTTGACGGAGGAGGGCTCGGCTTTTTCCTCTAGGTTCAAAAACCAGAATTAGCCTTTAGCTACCTAGGGAAGGGGGTTTTTTGGACGATTCAATAACAACCGAAATAAAAAGGAAGTTAAGAGTTAGGCTGCTGAACAAGGACTGGGAAAGGGAACAGCAGTGGGTGGGAGGGGTTGTTGCCACTGTTCCCTCTAAGCTGAGTCAGTGTGAGCCGGCTCCCAGTTTTTTAGCCTCCGGCTCACACATTTTTGCCTGGGCTCTGGAGCAAACAAATTGATGCAGTAGCTGAACTGCTTGCTCACAACTTTCAATGCGGGTAGCCCACAAAGTAGAATTTTTGCTCACAGGACTCCACAGCTTAGAGGGAACATTGGTTGTTGCATCCTTTGGAAGAGGGATAGCGTGGACGTTTCCAGGATCCCCATATGTTCTGAAAGTACTACTCAAGAGCAGGATTTTTTTGCCAGAGGGCTGGGCATGATGTTGTGTCGCGCGCCAAGTAGCAGCCTGGTGACCCTCCCTAGAAGCCTAACAGGTTTTCTTTCCTGCGTGCATCTGATATTTGTATTCTAGTTACTTCATTTAAGAACCTAAGAGCCCTGCTGGATCAGACCAGTGGTCCGTCTGGTCCAGCATCCTCTCTCACCTAATGGCCAACCAGTTCCTCTGGAGGGCCAACAATAAGGCATGGAGCCCAAGGCCTTCCCTTGATGTTGCCTCCTGGCTCTGGGATTCAAAGGTTGACTGCCGCTGAATGTGGAGGTTCCCTTTAGTCACCATAGCAAGTTGCCACTGATCCACCTGTCTGTCTGAATCGTTACACCCCGCTTTTTCTCCCCAGAGGGGACCAGACTTGGCTTACAATGTTCTTCTCCATTTTATTCTCACAACAGCCCTGTGAGGTGGGTTGGGCAGAGAGTGAGCGCATGGCCCACAGATACAGGAGGCTATAGTCCATGTCATCTTTTGCTAGAATAAAAACTTGCTAGTCTTTAAGACAGAAAGGAGCTGCGGTGGCTCAAGTGGTTAAGATGCTGAACTGCAGGCCGGAGGGTCGGTAGTTCAGCAGTTCACGACCTGAGTGCCGCATGACGGAGTGAGTTTCCCATCTCTGGTTCCAGCTCCTGCCAGCCTAGCAGTTCAAAAGCAAGAAATTGCAAGTAGATAAATAGGCACCACTTCGGTGGGAAGGTAACAGCATTCCGTGCCCCTCGGCATCTAGTCACGCCGGCCACATGACCATGGAAATGTCTTCGGACAGCGCTGGCTCTTCGGCTTGGAAACGGAGATGAGCACCACAACCCTAGAGTCGGATTCGACTGGCTTTCGAGCAAGGGAACCTTTACCTTTACCAGTCTTTAAGGCGCCATGAGACTCCTGCTTTGTCCTGTTTCTGACTGTCCCAAGCAGTGGGGATGGCTCAACAGCCTGCCAGAGGTGGTTGGAAACCAATTTAAAATGTTGTGGCTTCCCTCACGACAAACTGTGATCAATCAAATCTCTCATTCAATTGTAGGACATTTTATACCTTGTGATCCCTCTGGTATCCTACCTGTTGTTGTTTTTTTGCCTCTGGTTTTGTCTGAAATAAATTGGGTGTTTTTGAGCACAGAAAGTTCCCCACGATCCCCAGGTCTTCGTTTCGCTCCCTGGCCCATCCCTCCAAAATCCTGCCACCCAGTCTAGCATTTCTAAAACCACATTGGCACAGGGGAGAACCCAGTCAGTGTGTCTTGGCAGTGTTCTGCGCAGGGCTATTTTTGGGCAGGAACGCACAGGAACGGAGTTCCAGCTGGCTCCCAAGTTGACCACGCCCAGCAGGAACTCATTAGCGTAATAGGCCACACCCAACAGCAGACACTCATTTGGATTGGCTACAATGAGGGGTGTGTGGCCTAACATGCAAAAAGCCCTGGGTTTTGACAACAAGGTAAAGAGAATAAGAAGCAAAAGGTGGGTGTGGCTGGATGACCACACTTCTGGTAACATGGGGATGTGGCCTAATATGCGAATGAACTTTGCTGTCAGGGTGTGGCCTAATATGCTAATGAGTTCCTGCTGTTGGGTATGGCCTATTATACTAATGAGTTCCTGCTGGGCTTTTTCTACAAAAAAAGCCCTGGTTCTGCGCAACTGGTTCACCATCGGAACATAACACCTTTGTGCACGTGCGGTGGAGGTCCCCGATTCTGGGACGCCTTGGAGAAGAGTCCTGTGCCGTTCAGAACTGGGCGAACAAGGTCTGTCCCTTGTGACTCACAGGGCGGGGGAGGCGGGGCTGTTCCGGTGAGCTGTGGTGCCCCGCAATTCCGGATGCTTGTTCTGAGCGCGCTCTGTGCATGCTCAAGGGCAGGGGGGGCTCTTTCTGCACCGTTTTTCCCTTTGCGTTTTGCCTTCCAGGACAGGTGCCCGAGGAGGATGCCAGGCAAAATGGGCAGAGCCGCAGCCGAGGGCTACTCAAGCCGGTGTGCATGAATGGAACAGAGCCCGGGCAGCTGAGCGGCAAAGCGAAAGGCGAGAGGCGGGCCAGCGCCTCCTCCAACCCCTCCCGCAAGGCCGCCTCCACCAGCAGCAAGATCCGCAAACTTTCAACCTGCAAACAGCAATGACCCCCGGGGGTGCTCACCTGCCACAGGTGCTCCTGCCCACTCGTGCGCTTTCTCTCTCCTTAAATGTTTTGGGTACTGGAGGAAGAAACTGGGGTGACGTGGGGGCGGAGAGGAGTGTCATGGGAACTGGGGAAGCCGCATCCCCAAACACCACGTGTCAGTTCTGTAGCATGTGTGAATCCTGATGTTAATTCTTGGAACCACCCAGCAGCGCCACTTGCGCAGTAGACCGACCCAGTGGCCCCATTGGTCAACAGTTGTTGAGAATGTTTGCTAGATGGCCTGGATTTGTTCCGCCAGCACTGGAGGTGTCTTCTAGCACAACTCCTGTGCTGGGGGAAGGCTCCTTGGGAGAGAAGGAAGTGCCATCGCTAGCAGAACCGGCTCTCTGGATCCAGCCCAGTATTTTTGTTGGGGAGGGGAGAGCGGGAGAGAAGCCATGTTGGGTCAGGCCAATGGCCCATCCAGTCCAGCACTCTCCGTCACACCGTGGCCAAAACCCAGGTGCCATGAGGAGGTCCACCAGCAGGGCCAGAACTCCAGAAGCCCTCCCACCGATGCCCCCCCCAAGCACCAAGAATACAGAGCATCACTCCCCCAGCCATAGCATCCCATCTATAGCTTGTGGCTAATAGCCACTCATGGACCTCTGCTCTTAAGAACATAAGGGAAGCCATGTTGGGTCAGGCCAATGGCCCATCCAATCCAGCACTCTTTCACACTGTGGCCAAAACCCAGGTGCTATGAGGAGGTCCACCAGCAGGGCCAGAACTCCAGAAGCCCTCCCACCGATGCCCCCCCCCAAGCACCAAGAATACAGAGCATCACTTGCCCCAGCCTGAGAGTTCCTATCTATACCTTGTGGCTAATAGCCACTGATGTGAAGTTGTGGTCACAAATTTCACAAGGTTGTGACAAGTTGCTTTCACAGCCTGCAGTTCTCCAGTTCTGATTTATATAGGCATGCCTTAAGAAGCCTGATTTACAGGGGTGTTGCAGGAAACAGCAGGTGTTGGCTTGCGGGAGCCTTTGCAGGGCAGCTTCTCATTGAGCTGGGGCCTGCCACTTGGATAGGCGGCAGCTGAGCCACAGCAAGCCATCACATGGCTGTTTGTGCACAGGAAAGGGCTTTGTCAGCCGCGAGAATCCCACCTTTGACTCCCCTCTCTTCAGATTGTCCCAAATGTTCCTCCCAAGAGAGCTCAGTTCACGGTAGGTGCCCCTTGTGTTTGGGTAGAGAAAGAATGTGCGTATGTCTGTGTGTGCGGCCTGTTGGCGATTCCTCCACCTAGCCGTGGCAGCATGGAGTTGAAATTGGACTAGATGAAATTGTTCGGACTAGATGACCCTGGCGGTCCCTTCCACCTCCACGATTCGACGAAAACGCCCTGCCCACGTGCCACCAACCCTTCTCATGCTTCTAAACGCTTAAAGAACACCTTCTTACCTTTTCCTCACTCCCCACTTCCGGAGGTCTGGCACGGCAGGAACTTGTGCTGGCGTTGGGGCACAGCCCCTCTCGCAAAATAATGTCCCCTCTAAGCCGTGGAGTCTTGTGAGCAAAAATTCTCCTTTGTGAGCTGCTGGCATTAAAGTGGCGAGCGAGCCATTTGGCTGCTGCATCAATTGGTTTGCTCTGGAGCCCTCCTTCCTGAGCAGAGACAAACGTGTGAGCCGGAGGCTAAAAAACCGTGAGCTAGCTCACACTAACTCAGCTTAGAGGGAACACTGGCGGCGGTAGAAAGTCGCAGCCGGCTTAGGGCAAGAAAACCTGAAGAAGGTTTTCGAGGCAAGAGACGAACAAAACACTTTTGGCGGGCACAAGCTTGTTCTGGGTGATTCAAACAAAAGCCCTTTCCTGCCCCAAGCGTACGTCACACAGACGCACCACGCCTAGCGTTGCCATTTTAACCCAGTGGGGAAATATCTGGCTTGGTTCTCTGCTGCTCAAGCTGGTACCGAGAAGCCTCAAGGACACCTCTCCCTGGGAAAGAGAGCCGGAGGTACAGCTTGCCTGGAAAGTTATGACTTCTAAAGCAAAGATCCCATTCTCTCACTCATTCACTCCCCTCCCCTCCCCTCCCCCCCGTAACTATGGCAACCAAAGCGAGCATAGCGAAGGAAGGTTTGACATCGGGCGAGCCTAGGCCATCCAGGTCTGAATAGAGACATTCAGAGGTGGTTTGCCCCTACCTGCCTCTGCGTAGCAACCCTGGACTTCCCCAGTGGTCTCCCCTCCAAGTAGTAACCACGCTTGACCCTGCTTAGCTTCTGAGATCTGACCAGATCTCTGGGGCCATCCAGGTCAAGGGAAGAGCCAACCAGGAGTTCTTTTGCCCGTTGCCTGCCTCGACGCAGCAACCCCGGACTCCCTTGGCGGGGGCTCCCATCCAAGGGCTAACCGATGCTCCCTCTAAGCTGCGGAGTCTTGTGAGCAAAAATCCTACTTTGTGAGCTACTGGCCTTAAAGCTGTGAGGGATCGATTTGGCTGCTGCATCAGTTAGTTTTCCCTGGAGCCATCCCTTCCTGAGCGGAGACCAAAAATGTGTCAGCCGGAGGCTAAAAACTGTGAGCTGGCTCACACTGACTCAGCTTAGAGGGAATGTCCTGTCCAGCGCGAGCTGTGCTAAGCCAACGCTCTCTAGGTGTGAGTCAACCACGACTACTGAGGAGAGCTTAAATCATCTTTATTCAACTTCACACGCATTCAGGAAATCATTTACTCACAATCGAGCTGATATCTGGGTGGAAAGTTACCTCTTGTGATCTAGGTCAGTCCGATAGCCGCGGTGAGAGAAGAGACGGGCTTCCCCTCTCCTTGCAGTAAGGGTTGATGGACAAAGAAAACGGAAAACAACAATAAAACTCCTATCTTAGCTCAGGAAATTACTCTGAATGAGCCAGTCAGAGGGAAGCTTCTGGGACCCCCTAACTGTGGACTCCAATTCCCAGGGTGCATAAGAACATAAGAGATGCCAATGTTGGATCAGGCCAAAGGCCCATCCAGTCCAACACTCTGTGTCACACAGTGGCCAGAAATACCAGATGCCATCAGGAGGTCCACCAGTGGGGCCAGGACATTAGAAGCCCTCCTACTGTTGACCCCCCCAAGCACCAAGAAGACAGAGCATCACTTGCCCCAGAGCCCCTATCTATACCTTGTGGCTAATAGCCACTGATGGACCTCTGATGGACCAACTACTCTTAAAGGTACATTAAAGCTGGCCGGGGCAGCACAGGGAACACTGGTGAGATCAGCAGAACAAACGTCTAGCCCGGCAGCACCTTTGAGACCAACAAAGGTTTGTTCGAGGTATGAGCCGCCGTGTGCGAGGAAGTGTGCCTTGCACGCGAAAGCTCGCGCCTTGAATAAACCTCTGTTGGTCTCAAAGGTGCCGCCGGACTCTAAATTTGCCCTCCCGCTTCCGACCAACGCGGCTGACCGTCCGGATCTAACCGGTGAGATCGGGTCAGCCTGGGCCAACGTTCGGCCTCCTGAAAGGCCTTGGATTTAAATCCTGAAAGTAAATAAATACGGAAGGAAAGCTGCTGGCCCCTCCTGTCGCTGCTGGGGGCGGACGGGTGCCGATGGGGGGTCACGTTGCCCGATATAACTGTTCGAAACGTGTGGGTAGTGAATCCACACTGGGAAGGCATCTGCGCATCTGCACTTTTTTGGGAAGAGAGGAAAGGGCAGCTGGTGCCAAGGCTGACAAATTGGGCCGGGGTGGGGGGTGGCGGCTGTGCATGGTCTCCATGTGTGCCGGGCATGTGCCTCAGCTGTGCCTGACGTGAGCCACTTCCTTTTCGTCCTCCACCCCTGCAGCTGCCGGGGCGCTTTGTCATCTTTCTCCTCCCACCCCACCCCAGCCTTTTCCGTACAGAGATGGCCTCCTGATTCATGAACTCGTCCTCCGGATTGTTCGCTGCCTCTGACAATCTTCCCGCCCCCGTGCTGCCTGCTCCCCACCACCACCACCACTGCTGCTTCATCACACTCCTGATGCGCTGATGCGCGCCCGGCATTTCTGTCTCCCTCCCCCTTCTTTATCTGCCGGGCTGGGCTCACAAGCGGCCTTTTCCTTCTGCATCCACTTCCTCCCCCCCCCCCCCACATC